TAGGGTCTCCAGCATGAGGTCCAAATACCTTCCGAGGACATAAAAGCACCTCTGCTGTGGCCTCGGACGTCCTCATCAAAGGCACGCGAGGGGAAGCGGCGGCCCCGATTTTTCCTTAGAGCAGGAACCCTTGCAAGTTCGAGCGGGAGAAGGGACCGCTTCACAACTCAATGGCCAGGGCCATATTCTGCCCAGCTTCACACCTGCACTCTTTTCCGAAAGCCTGGAATTAGAAAGGTGGATCTTACGAGAGCCTTGGTTGCGGAGCGGCAAAAAATACCTCTTCCATTCAAAGTTTTCTGAGCAGCTGAGTGGACCTCACCCATTTCACCATGCTAAGTAGAGGCTTTCCGCCGACTCCCTCAGTTTCTCATATTGGTTACCTGGTTAACCTTTTCCTGTTCTTGCTTGGGGGGAAACCAGCCCGGTTAAAAGGTTACCCACTGACTGGGTAGGCAAGCGCTCAATCTGACCTAGGATCTGATGCTGAACTACAGTTGTTGGATGTTGATGGTACCCCCTGAGTTGGGGATGCTCCAACTCTGTATAGTTACACGTGGATTTGGATGGTTTGGGGGGGCCAACCGGTGCCTCCTAAGCTCGCATGCTCGTCCAGGCACCTCACAGGATCAGCAAAGCGCTAAAGCACACCGTGCATGAACCGCCACATGACTATGCCGCTGTTCTGGACGGCAGAACGCGCTGTTCTGGTTGCCCGCACAGCACGTTATGATATGCCTAAGTTTAGACGATCAGCTCAAGTATCCTGAAATCCTTTCAGCTTCAGCATGTTGAAAAGCTTTCCGCTGATTTTATTTCAGCAGCGTGCACGCAGTCACGCAGTCACTTCAGCGCCAAAAAAGACCCGGAATGTCTGGGCAACAAAGATCGTGCCCTGCCAAGGGCCACAAATCACACATGCTCAGGATATATCTCAGGATGACATGGATGGCATCATTGTGCACCCCATGTGCAATAGATTGCAATAGAAGCAACTGCGGGTGGCCCGTACCGAGGGGCACTCTGATTGCCTGCTTTGCACCGTAGAGGTGGCACTGTGGCACAACGCTTGTTTTTCACACCGCTACATCCGACAGTGATGGGTCTTCAACCCAGACCTCCAAGGAAAAGACGGTATGCCGACGTGTCCATTCTGAGCTGCAAGATGTATGGCAGGCATTCCAATTGAATACACACTTTAGGACTCTAATGTCAACACAGGATTAAGGAAGCCCCCTCTATTAATCAAGCCCAGCTGGAGCCTCCAATAATAAACTAAAATTACCTCTGCAAACCTCCCTCTAATAATGACTTCCACCCCCCCTATTAATCAAGCCGGCCCAGCTCCACAAAAAGAATGTAATTTGTTTTATATATATTTATTTAGTTTTCCTTTTTTAGTATTCAAATATGTTTTTAGGTATAATTTATCCACCCTTTTCCCATGCTGACCCTCTCATTCATCAAGCATTTCTGATAACTCTGCTTGCTCTTCTCATCCTTCCCAGCAGCAATCTGTGCAGCCAACCATCCCCCAAAACCCCAAAACTCTCTAGCAAAATTCTTTCATTTTCTCTCATTAAAGCTCTATCAGCATCTTAAGGTTTTCAAGCTCACAAAGGGTACCCCTCACACAGGCCCTACCACCCCCTAATAGTAGGGACCCCTCCCCCTATTAATCAAGCCCGCCCTCTGGCCTCCATCTTGTTTTCCAAAAGTTCTCATGTGGTTTCCATCTCTTCCAACCCTTTCATCCCAACTCTTCCAAATACTCATTCCCGTTCATCTCAATTCTTCCAAATACTCAGTCCCTTTCATCTCAATTCTTCCAAATACTAATTCCATTTCATCTCAATTCTTCCAAATACTCATTCCCTTGCATCCCAATTCTTCCAAATACCAATTCCCTTTCATCTCAATTCTTCCAAATACTCATTCCCTTTCATCCCAACTCTTCCAAATACTAATTCCCTTTCATCTCAATTCTTCCAAATACTAATTCCCTTTCATCTCAATTCTTCCAAATACTAATTCCCTTTCAGCCCAATTCTTCCAAATACTAATTCCCTTGCATTCCAATTCTTCCGAATCAAATTCCCTTTCATCATCAGGTCATCATCTTTATTAATCCCGAGTACCTATTAAAAAACGGACCCCAATTAAAAAAAAGTCATGCCGGATCCCCTAAATTCGGTTTATATTTGGTTTTAAATTGCCGCCCTTTCAAACCGCTACTAAACTACAAACATGGTCGATTTTGGGGGTAGTTTTTTTTATTAGGTTCCCCAAAACTCCACCATGACACGCCGCGCTTACACCAGCAGGCTTTCCTTCCCTCAATGGCACGGACTCACGCAAACGCACTTGCCACCGAGGTCATGCAACACCGCATGGCACAGCGACATCACCTTTCGAAAGCTTTAGCTGTTAGTCTACTGAAGAATCACTATTCTAATGAAGGTTTTTGTAGGGGAAAAGGAAGACCCTTCGATCTGGCGGTTTTTTGCATTTTTGATATGAGTTTAATAAAGGATTTTATATAAAATTTTCCTGGATTACTTTTTGGTTTTGAAACTCTTTCCAGGTGACCCTATTTTGGACACCCCGATTTCAGGGACCCCCTATTAAAAAAAATGCGACCGAGGTTTCCTTATTAGGGGGGGGGGGGGGGC